ATTGGCTGGAGTGGCTGGAATATCTCTGCATTGCTCCGAGCATTTATTATAGGTGCTGGCAACTGACTGGGTGTGTTGTTCTTCTTCTGGGTCCATTGTTATTTAAATTATACCTCTGTCCTGGGTTCAGACAGTGGTGGTACGTAACACTACACATAGAAAAAATTCTCAGTCATAAGTAACACTTGAGCATCACACCTAAAATACCTAAGCAAACTGTGAAGGAAAAAGATGCCTTGTATTATTTTCTCCCCAGGTTGCTTCTGAAGATGCTGAAAGGAGCTACATTTCTAGCAGTAAGATATAACATTTCTGTCTGGAAAAAGAGAATATGTAATGAGTGCATTTAATCACTGCATTGACTTGAAATTGATTTGGAGATTGTTAATGATAGATCATTGATAAAATGACATTTGAATGAATCAAACTGCTATCTGATCCAGTGTCTAAACCAAGATGCTTCCGTTAACTGGAATGATGGAAACACTTTTTCACCATTATCATGTGAAAATCTTTATCAAAACACTTGTCAGAAATCAAGTCTTTCTTCATGTGAATGTGTACATGGGCTATAATGCAGTCAGTTAAGAAGTATGCTGTGATATGCCAAAAGCACAGGTGATTGTCTACCAGCAGTAGCATTTCTGCAACTCCTGAGTGATGCCCCTTTGAAATGTAACAGCAGGTAGTCCCATAAATCTTTGCTACATGGAACTAATCTTGTGTCAAATGATCTAGTCTCATTAATTTTACCTTTTTTTCCCACACATTTTTAGTAATTTCTAAAATTATCGTACAGTACCCGCCTGAGCTGCCTATGTGGGAACCCGCTGGACTGAATTATGTTTATCACTACCTTAGAAATCATGCTGACTTCAGAATTTGACCAATAACGTTTGAAGGAAAAGTAGTTTTCACAGCTGAGGAAAAAGGAAGCAGAAAGCAAATTGTATTATTGTCTGTATTTCTATTTGGAAAGACAGAGCCCTGAGATTTTATCCAGTACAGCTATATTGACACCAAGCACCAACTGCAATAGTCCAGAATTATAACTCTTAAAGAATTCCCCTGATCAAAATTTTTTCTATGGTAAGAAAAAGAGTATCTTTAAAGAAAATATCCAGTTGTCTAAAGATGGCTGATTTTGAATTGGTCATAACTCTTTTCCTCTCTCATACCACATTTCTCTTTTAACTGTTTTGTTTTTTTTTTCCTAGCTAAAAAATATATATATCCATATATTAAAAAAAAATAAATCCCTCTGAGCAAAGCTTTGTAAGGTGGCATTCCAAATTTCAAGATTTGGAGAAGAAAGCGCTTAAGCCCTGCCCGTATGGTAACCATTTCACCAAAATGCACACTGAAATGTAATCTTGCTGAGATCAGTGTACCTAATAAGGCATAATCTCTTAAGTTTGCTTTACATTATTTCTTCTGTTTACATAGGCTAAAGATGTCTGAAGATGCTGTACTCTTGACACACCCATGGCAAAGTGGCAACAGGTTTGGTTTATTGATGGGAAGCCACCCAAGCCTGAATATGTATTTCTTATCTGACCCTTCTTCTGCACACACACTCTGCAGCCTCAGGCTGCCTGGTTTTTGTTACTTTTAAACTCTTTTAAGTTTGGACAATTCATCGTTTTGGCTAGATTTCTCTTAGCTTTTGGAAACAATGAGAAAAAAGTGGTAGCAGCAGATGGCACATTTTGCTTCTGACTGCTTAGTGGCATGGCAGAGGTTTTTGTGAAAATCTGACTACACCAGACATGCTCAACACTATTATAATGATCATTCTCTCTCATTTTTAGGGTACCCCGGGCCAGTCTGTTTATACTTTTGGGCTTAGAGAGTCTTAGTTTTACAAATGATAGAAATATCTGGTTTTATGAACCTCACTCAAAGCGTAAAGTAAGTTGTATATTTCAGCCCAGAGAAATGCCAGTCACATAAATAATGTATTTATTCTTATACTATCTTCTAATACATTGATGTGAAAGAAAGAAAGATTTATCTCCATTTTTATGTACCTTAACTCTTTCCTGTGACGGGTGAAATAAAAAATATAGTGTATCTGCTTGAAGACGTCAGTATCTAGAACAGTGTCAAGATTCCATCTCATGTACTAGCCCTCTGGAATCCACTGTATGCCTGCGCAACTGTGCTGATACAGAATATAATCGGCTCTGATTTGGAACTCCGTGAAATATTGCTGGGTTATTGAACACATCTTCCAGAAGACTTTTTGTATCTGACTGAATTTCTGTTCATACATAAAAAGTAGCCTGTGCAAAGTAGCCAGTTCAGCAGGAGTTAAGCTAGTAGTGGGAACAAAAAATGGTTTAGTCAAAGAAAGATTTTAAGTAACATATTATACTGCAAATTATTGTCCTTAAAGATGTGTAACAAAGTATGACACATTCCTGTTTCTTTGTTTACTCTTTTCCCTAAAAATAATTGCCTGTCAGATTTTGAATTTGTTTGGCTTCAGATCGAAAATAATTTCCAAAATGTTCTACTCTGTTTTGTTATAATACAAAGCAGAAATAAACAAACATCATCACCTTATCACTGTGTTAAGTTTAAATGCAAATTGGGCCCATGCTAGGGCATGCAAGAAATCATTTGCTTCAGTCGACTCCACAGCACAAGACTGGAGTTTTCATGGGGAAGCAGATGTAAAAATCAGGGACTGTAACTCAATAAATTGTATTAGCAAGAATCTGTTGGTATCTTCTACATAGTCTCAGTCACTTAGATACATTCCCAATGTGAAAGTTGCAATTAATATAGGCATCTCTTTTTCTGGCAGTCCATTAACTGTAATAAAGAAATGCGGTCGGGTTTTGTCAGGAAATATCATCAGGTGTGTCTTATTTTCCTCAGACAGAAGTTATCTGTAAGGCCCATGCTTGATTGTCTTACTTAGCAGGATCTGTTAGGGGTGAAAAAATGTGCTTTTACAGTGGTCTTCTTTTGTCTCTCTGGAGTGAATATGAGTTTTGAAAAGGACAGTGAAATGAATGTGTTTTCTGTGAGTCTGTAAGTCTGTGTTTCTTTACGTTCATTGTGAACACATATTGAAAAAACAGATTGTACAGACAACATTTCTAATGGTTAGGGGAATACAGAGATGCCTTTGATAGTTTTCCCTAACTTCTTGTGAATTATAGGGATTGCATCTGATCTCTTGATGATTTCCTGGGTTGCTGTCAATGCCTTTTTGAGAATGCTCAGTTCTTAAGGAAGCCAGCATCCATAGTTAGCAAATTTGTGTAGCTGATGAAATCCACCTCAGAAGATAACAAATATTTGTTAATACATCCAACATCTTCAAGTCTTTGCAGGAGAAATTGACATCCATACCTCATTAATAGTTGTATCAATTAACACTGGCACTTAAAAGTTAAAGCTTTATAAGTTAAAACTTTATAGTTTTAATTATAAGCTGAATGGTCTTTCAGAGTTTAGTATCTTTGTCATACTGTGCAATGTATTACAGCTTTTTTGGTAATTTGCTGGGTAAACTCACCATATCCAGCTGCTGAAGTCTCCAGACTAAACTCTAAGAGGAACGTCCTCTTTAAGCATCTTCCTAAAGAGAGAAGTAGCATAAGGGAAAATTACACAACAGAGTAGTTATTCATAATAAATGTAACAGGAGTGGACTTGTATTTTCACTCAAATTAATGATGAAAATTGTAAGATGATGGGAAAAGATGCATGGATGTGCAAGAATGATGCAATGTACCAAACATATGAGCTATATTTGAAAACCTAGACTTCTCATCTTTAAATTTAAATAAACCTAAAAATACGTTCAGGAAAGTGAAGTATATAAAGTGCTTTCAGGATGCTTTTTCAGTTTTGAGGCTTATGATATACCAGACTTTATAAGTTCGTTAACTCATATAAAGTATTACTTTTATCTTTAAAAATATATGTCACTGTAAAAAGTATTGTAAAATATTTGTAGGATCTGGCATAAATATTTTAAAAAGATCAACACATCCAGACATATTGCTTGAATGAAATTTCTATTGCAGTTAAGCAATCATAACTGTGACATTTCCTTTTTGTCCTGTAACAGCAATATAAATATTAAGTTTCATAAACTTGTCCTTATTATAAGTCCTCATGCATACTCTTACTCTAAATTATTCAGTGGTTGATACAACACGACACTGTAGAATTTGCATTTTTTGAGGACACTACACTGGTTCATATGTGTAATAAATGTGACAACAAAGTGAGGAATGATGGCGAAATTTACTTTTTCAAACAGGCATTTAATCTGTTCAATAAAACTTTACTATCTAAAACAACTATGAGTTGTGTCTGATTTTGTGCTACTGGTATTTCACACGGCCTCTAGGAAGATTGTGGCTAGAGTACCTTGTTCTCTGCATGAAGCAGCAGTCTTCAGATCAATCCCAGTTTGCAAAGTGCTGGTGACTGCTGTGGGTGTAGCAATGGGAAGACTCCTGGGTTTCTCCTTACTTGAATACCAAAGCTGCTTGTCTAAATGGAGATGTGCAGGTGCCTGAATTCTGCTGGCAGTAATGGATCTTACCAATGCATGATGGTGACAAATTCTGCCTGTGGTAACTGAGAGCAGGGCTTTTCAAAACAGGCCATGCATAACTCTGGGATGTCCTATATAGCTCTATAGCCCTTCTCTCTCATGAAATGAGTGCCTAGTTTACAGTTCGGTACTGCTTTTTGTTAGCAATTCAGGGCAATATATGCAGTTAAAGCAGAGATAACAGGAGAAACAGTGTGAACCAGCAAAACATGCAGAAAGGGACTCGGTAGAGCTTTTCAGGCAGGCTGTTCAGTTTTTCCTTTTAATTCTGCACACCCAGTGCAGGATGAATTAATTTGGGTTAGTTTGTTTGTTTTTTTTTCACTTTTTTTTTCCCTTCCTGTGACAGAAAGATTCAACTCCCTTTGAAAAGCTGAGTATATTTTCCATTTGTTTGCTGTTTTGCTCACGTCAGCATGAAGGCAGAAAGTGTGGTTATTGGAGCTGAATCCCTTCAGAGTTCACCACTGATGTCGCTGAACAAAGTAGATCTAAATACAGCTGAACCAGAAATAAGCTTCTCTCACCAGAGGAGAAGGAAGAGCATGGTTTGTGTGAGACTTTTTGAAAACTGGAGTGGTCTTGTCTCTTCTGCTTTATCTTGTTTAAAGAAGTCCCTAAATGAGGCTGATTTCAAGAGGTCCCTGCACAGATGAGGATGTGATGTGTTCCTGAGAACACCTTTTCCTTCCCAGTCAGGGAGTTTGCAGCTGACATGTAAGTAGAGTCTTACCAGGATTTAATTTGAATGGATTTATTAGTTTGAAATAAATGGCCTTTTTGTGTATTTATGCATTTTTAAGTTATGGGTCTGTCTCATTAATTTGAGTAATGATCCAGAGCTGTGCCTGAACCGTTTTCTCTGTTTCACAACAAACTGAGGTTAAAGAAGAGCTTCTGATAAGCCACAAAACCCAAGCAATGCTTTTACCAGATGCCTGGTTTCAGCCACCAGGCTCTTTGCCCTTGCCTTGCCTATCCCATCCCTGAAGGTAGCCTTGCCCTGCTGATGCAGATCAGTGCCTGAAGCTTTTTTCTGCTAACTTTCCCTTAGACTATCATGTCCCATTTATTATTTCATGGTAAAAAATCCTTTTTGTGTTATAATAAACATGAGCGTGAGAATGTGTCTGTCACCTATCGATTAATCAGATTTATCAAGAATAATGATTATTAGAACATAATAAGGCAATATCTTAATAGATTTTGGATAGCTGTAGAAAAATCTGTATTTTTCACAAATACATAATTAAATAAAACTGAAAACTGGTACTAAAAAGCATTAGGTTCTGTGTTTTCAGTGCTTCCTTCTGTATTAATGCTTCTTAAAGGACAGGAAAAAACGAGGTTTGACATTACAGGCTGGTGGCTCATGTTACCAGGTGTGTTTTGCCATTATGGTTTTCTGGTACACAGTCTGACCTAATTGCCTGTGTTTTTCTGCTGCTTTTTTTGCATATGTTTCAGAATGGAATGATGTGGTGTCTAAAAGTAGAATTGAAGACTCTTGCAAGTCGTCGTTGCCACCATCATTTTTTCTTCTCTTTCCGTCTTTCGTTAAGCATCAAGACACATCTAGTCTGAAAAAGCAGTGTACTATTTCCACCATTTCCCTGAGCTGAGCACTAGAGGGCACTGCGTACTGACAGTAATTTCGCTTCCCAATTTTCAAAGCTGCGCGTACAGATCATTTGAAAATCTGCTCTGAGACTGGAATCTATTAGCTCTGTTTGCCTTATCTATAGCAAGATATATATTTTAGAATAGGAGAATGAGTAAAAAAAATTCAACCACTGAGTAATAAGAAAAAATACACTCTATGATAGTAGTGACTATAGATATTAGCAAAATTTAAAATTATTTAGTAGAATGCTCTATAGCAAATATATCTTTAAGATAGCATTTTTATTCATAATTTAGCCTAATACACACCATAATCTTGCATCTGTATACTTCTGTAATGCTGATACGCATCAAAAAGCTATTATTTTCTGCTTGGTTGTTCCACTGCTTCTACTCCCTTCTTCCCTCCCTCCCTCTCTCCCCCTCCCCAGTCCAGACCTCCTAAATGGTTTTAAAAATAAAATGCCTTGGAAAGTTCTGTGGACCTTCTAAAGTGTTTGTAGCCCTACCTGAAAGATGGGGGAATATATGCTTTTACTCACAGAGATTTGCTTGCCTATTGTCAAGAAAAATGTGAGTTCGCAGGTCTTAGCAGCAGACAGATTGTCTAGAGAGTCGAAAAGCTTCACATTTACCAGGAGAGGATTACAGACAATACAGATCAGGAATGAAATATTATCAGGTAAAGTAATTCACTGTTTATCAACTCTGGCACACAGGACACCCTCTGAAACCATCCTTACATGCTTTGTTTGCCCTAACCTGTAGAATAAGTTTTCCAGCAGTGTACTGAGGAGGAAGAGGTGCTGTTCAGTGTAATTGAGTCGTGTGCATAGTGTCATCTGTGGCTGCAACTGCAAGCTTTCAGTTAGGCAGGGTTGCTCTTCTGGGGCCTTACATAGCTTCAATTTATGTAAGTAGGTTTTGAATATAATGAAAATGATGAAATGCAGCATTTCATAGGAATTGTTAACAAAGGGATATGGATAAACAGAGGACATATCCTCCATCATTAGTAGGATGTTATAATAATGAATTATCATCTAGGTAATAAAAAAAAAAAAAGGAAAAAGTATTTTTGAGACATGAAAATTTAAATGTAGTTCTAATGAAGACATCCAGAACATTAAACACAAAACTGCAGACAGTCTTAGTGCTTGCACTTTTTCTTATTGCTATTCATTCCTCTGTAAGTGCAACTCTATTTTATCCTTGAAAGTCATAGAATCTCATTCCTAGTATCAGCTGATGTCTGTTTATTACAGGAAAAATATCTGACCTGAAAAATATTTTTATAATATTGTAAAATATTGTATTATTCTAATTACTGAAGTTACTGGTTGTTTCAGTACAATATTTTTTTTCCACTGTAACTTAAGAAAACAGTGAGTTTATTTTTTTCCTCTTTTTTTTCTCATCTTCTTTTCTTTCACACACACAGGCAAGGATGTTTAGGTCTACAGGTAAAGGCTCTATAAAGCACCTTGAGTTTGTTGTTCTGGTTTGGATGTCTTGTTGTGCTTGTTTTGGATGCCCGTCTTGACAGATTTCAAAGAATCATGGAATCATCGAAGTGTTGAGGTGAGAAGCGACTTCTGGAGGTTATAGAATCATTCAATCTGGAAAGACCTTTAAGATAGTTGAATCCAACTGTAAACCTAACACTGCCAAGCCCACTGCTGTGTCTGGTCCCCAAGCAGAGCACCAGCTGCCTGCAGCAGCCCTTACTTCTTGTTTCCTTCAGAAGGGGTTTCTTTTAACCAAATACCTCCTCCTGTCCTTCAGGGCTATAGAAAGGGCTCAGAATCCCTCGGTACAGCCATGCTGTCCGGGATGCTGGCTGCCTCACAGAGGTGAGAGGCAATGCCTCTGCTGTCACCAGGGGGAGCCGGCCTTCCTTGCCTCCTCATTGCATCAGAGAGGTGCCCAAGGTCATCTGATCCAGCCCCTCTGTGCTTGAGCAGGGTCACTTAGAGCTGGTTTTTCAAGACCATGTCCAGATGACTTTTGAATATCTCCAAAGTGGAAGACTCCACAACTTTCCTGGGCAACTGTGCCATTTCTCGGTCACCCTTACAGTGATAAAGCATTTTCTGATGTTCAAAGGCAACGCTCTCTGTTTCAGTCCTGTCAGTGGGCACCACTGAGAAAAGCCTTGCTCTGTCTTCTTTACACCCTCCCTTAGGTATTTCTGCATATTGGTCAGGTCACTCCAGTACATCAGACCTATTCTTAAGAGCTTGATTGCAGAATCTGGCTGAACTGGGAAAAAATCCATTTGTTATTTTATTCTTGATCCCCTGCTAGGCCAAGGTAAATGTCATACAAGGTATTGACATTTCAATTTATATTAGACTATGAACTAGTTCAGACAAAAAGTAGAAGAAAACACACTGAACTGTGTCAGAATGGAGTCTCCACTCGAATCCTTTGTGTATATATTTTGCAAATGTCTGCCAGCCTGTATGTTTTTAGCACACAGTGAGTAAAATTTAAAGAACGGTTCTTATGCAACAATAAGCTAAGAACTGGAACTGACCGCTTTTGAGATCTGACATGTAAAGCTGGAATTTTGATGGTGAAAGTTGTAACTGCTGACACATTGCAGCTGTTTCAGATAAATCAGCAAATAAGATCCTATGACTCTTAAAGGTTACAGCTTACTGTCAGTAAAATTGTAATTACAATTGTAATTGCATAGTGTGTTTCTGCGTCCTACTGTGCATCCAGACATGTTTTAAAGGAAATGCACTGCTGTTTTGAGCATCATTATTACATTGGCTGGCATTGTGTTATCTAGACACTGTTTTCTGCAGGACATAAAACTGAGACTGGGAGGACTGCACAGAAATACACAGTTTTTCCAAACCAAATTGCTTTTTAGGATTATCATTGATACTAAACATCATATTGGTTCTAATAATTTTTTTGCTGGACAAGAATATATATGCATATATGTATATACTCTATACATTCTGCATTCTATTTTTGAGAAGCAAACATCATTATTACTGTAAGTCATTACTCTGCTTTATTCAATTCTGTCAGACATGAAGCTAATGTAACAAAACTTACAATTAGAAAAAATAAAATTCTCATAATTAAAATATGTAAAAATTGTCTGGTTAGATGATAGACACAAATTTCATAAGCTATTGAAGTGTGGGTCCATTATTGCTACTGATTTTTGTGTAGTTATACATCTTTAAGTGAAGAGGCATTGACTTAACTAAGCACATTAATAAGCCAGGACCTTTTTTCCCTCTGTAGGCAGGTACTAATGTCCTGTTTTTTCATAATATATGAGTGCAGGTGCAGTCCACATCAACACACTCAGCTTATTTGGGATGTGCAGATGTTCCCCTCTCCTTGGGGATATATAACTATAAAGCACAATGCCAGCTTTTGTTTTAAATAAGAAGCCCTTATCATTTTCTTTGTGAAAAATAATCTTTAACCAATAAAATGTTGTAAACCTGCTTACTAGGGTTGAGCTTCTTGCTCTAATGTGTTATTCTCTAAATTTCAAGGCTTAGCTGTACTCTCAGAGATTCTTCAGAGTTCTTTTTGGCATGCTGTTGAACTTTCACAGCATCTGTTGATGTTGGAAAGAAGCATCAATTAAATTCACACTTATAGGGAGTTTATAGTATCTGGCAATAAGCCCACAATTTTTTTTTTTTTTTCTAAAAGACTGATTTTTAATTGATTTTAAGCTTTACTGCAATGTAAGAATACCTCAATATTCTCCATGTATCTTAGTAATTTCATTGTCTCTATTTCTCCCACTGTAAAGCAAGCGTAAAATCCTATCTTATGCCCTGGACAGGATACAGAACAGTCACTGTCACAGTAGCTTACTGTCATTTTACTTTGTAGTTGAGACAGGCTAAGAAATCATAAGCCATACTTTTTGGCTTTATTCTCATGTCCTTTAAAATACATCAGAATTTATTTCCAGTTCTATGGACAAACTGGAGACAATATCTGAGATACATTGCAGGAAATCAAGCTTTGCAGTTGCACAGGTTGAAGAAAATTCCTGACTTGTTGAGATTCCTGTGTATAATGGTGCGTATAATAGGTTAAAAAAATCATACTGACACGCATTCCAGAAGGGGAAGGCAGCCCTTCGAATAGTCTTGAACAGTTGTATTAGTAAAGATGATGGAAGTGAAAAACTTTCACTGAGGTCAGACTGCATGTGACAAATGGGATGTGTTTGTTATGAAACAGGAAAAGTAGATGAACGTAGTCACTGAGAGTTTTACCTTCAGCTCCTTACTTAAAAAGGCGTAACATTTAATGTTAATGTATTTAGAATCATACAATCAACTAAGTTGGCAAAGAACTTAAAGATCATCAAGTCCAACCTTTAGCCCAGGACAGTGAAGTCCAGCACTAAACCATATAACTAAAGGCCTCATCTACATGGTTTTTGAACGCTTTCAGGGATGGTGACTCCACCACTTCCCTGGGACGCCTGTTCCAATACCTGATCACCCTAGTACAATGTAATAAGATCAATTTTTAAGAAGTAGTTTGGAACAAAATTTTGTGTGGGTGTTATTGCTATATGCACCTACAAAATTGTGTCTGTACTTCCACACACATCCAAAATTCAATACAATTAATGTAATAGATATCAATCACATTCTTAGTTTGTGAGTCATCATATTACTAAATGAGTCTTCTCTTTTAAAGCTATTTTTGAGTTCTTAAATTTAGCACAGAGAACTACTCAAAATCCAGAGTAAACAATTGCTAATGCTTAGGATATGCACACAACTGCTACCAAAGTTCATTTAGTTCTTCAAAGCTCTATTTAACAAATTTCCTTTAAGGAATTCTTTTTGAGACATCCAGTTGTGTGAAGGTATAGTGGTCATTAGGAACAAGGTTCAGTCTAAGGTAGCAC